ACAAAGAGCAGGAGGGTGCAAGACGGGAGCAAGACGGGAGCAGGCCCCGTGCAGGGAAGTTGGGCGAAGTCACGATGGTCACGCTGGCTTAATATGGCCGCCAAGTTCGCCCCAAGATGGTCCAAGATGGCCTCCAAGACGGCCCAAGAAGGCTCAAGATGCCTCCAAGTCCGCCCAAGAAGCCCCCAAAGCGGTCCAAGAGGGCCCAAGAGGCCCCCAAGAGACCTCCAAGACGGCCCAAGAGGCCTCCAAGAGGACCTCCAGGAAGGCCCGAAGAGGGCAAAACCATTGATTTTCCAGAAGTGTTTGAAGGATTTTGGAATATGTTTCGATTCGGCCTTCCGGCAGCCCGAGACGGCCCAACAGCCCCCAAAGATCGCCCCAGATCGCCCAAGGGGCCTCCAAGATGGCCCCAGAACGGCCCAAGAGGACCCCAAGACCGCCCCAGGAGGGCCCCAAGACGGCCCAAGAGACTTCCGAAACCCCCAAGATGGCCTCCAAGACGGCCCTGGAGCACCCCGACAGGGCCCCCAGTCGGCCCAGAGAGGCCCCAAAGACAGCTTCCGACGGCGTCAGACAAGCCAGGAGCCCACCAAGACGGCCCAAGATGGCTTTAAGATGACCCAAGACGGCCCAAGAGGCCCCCAAGAAGTCTCCAAGACGGCCAAAGAGGCCTCCAAGAGTGGCTCCAGGAATGCCCGAAGAGGCCAAAATCATTGATTTGTCATAGGTTTTTTGAAGGATTTTGGCATCTGCTTCTTTTCGGTCTTCCCACGGCCCGAGACGCCCCAAGAGGCCCGAAAGATCGACCAAGAGGCCTCCAGGATAGCCCCAGAACGGCCCAAGAGGCCCCCAAGGGGCCCCCAAGAGGGGCCGACGAGGCCTGCAAGACGCCCAAGATGGCCTCCAAGACGGCCCTGGAGCACATCAAGAGGGTTCCAAGTCGGCCCAGAGCGGCCCCCAGACGGCTTCCGACGGCGTCAGACGGACCAGGAATGCCCTGAGACGGCCAAAGAGGCCACCGAGAAGCCCCCAAAGGCCCCCAAGAGGCCCAAGGAGGCCCCCAAGATGCCTCTCAGGAAGCTCCCGGGAGGCACCAAGAGTGCCCCCAGTGGCTCCCAAGATGCCCCCTCGTCCTCCTTCTCCTCCTCCTCCTCCTCCTCCTCCTCTCCTCCTCCCTCCTCCTCCTCCTCCTCCTCCTCCTCCTCCTCCTCCTCCTCCTCCTCCTCCTCCTCCTCCTCCTCCTCCTCCTCCTCCTCCTCCCTCCTCCTCCGCCTCTCTCCCTCCTCCTCCTCCTCTCCTCCTCCTCCTCCTCCTCCTCCTCCTCCTCCTCCTCCTCCTCCTCCTCCTCCTCCTCCTCCTCCTCCTCCTCCTCCACCTCCTCCTCCTCCTCCTCCTCCTCCTCCTACCTCTCTCCTCCTCCTCCTCCTCCTCTCCTCCTCCTCCTCCTTCCTCCTCCTCCTCCTCCTCCTCCTCCTCCTCCTCCTCCTCCTCCTCCTCCTCCTCCTCCTCCTCCTCCTCACTCCTCCTCCTCCACCTCCCATCATCATCATCATCATCATCATCATCATCATCATCATCATCATCATCATCATCATCAATCATCATCATCATCATCATCATCTTGATCTTCCCCGCCATTCTACCCCAAGTGCTCCCCGAAGGGCTTCCACAACGGTAGGGGGGAAAACATGGTCCGATAGCTTGGCAGAGCTCTTGCCACAACGCTCGGCAACATGGGCGGCGGTGCTTCACCGTAGGCGCCTTCGATATATATATATATATATATATATATATATATATATATATATAATATATACCGATAATGTATGTGTATATCTAAAAATGTACACACGCATGCATACATAAACATACATAGACTGCTTGTGTGTATGATTGCATATACATATATAGACGCATACAGAATATACAGAATGAGTTCGTGTCTGTCGCTCCCGCGAGGTTTCTGGACAGCCTGAAACCTTCCTTGGAACTCCGGGGGGCACCCTCGTGGCCACGGCTGGAGTCCCCTCCAGACTCTGCCTAAAGCGCGCCAAAGGACAGGTCCGGGGGTTAACTTCTAATGGGCGGACCCGGACCTCTGGCGTCACGCAGAAAGACGCGACGGCTGGTCTGGAGGATGAGAAGGAAGAGGAAGAGGAAGGAAAAAGAGAAAGAGGAGGAGGAGGAGGAGGAGACAGGAGGAGGAGGAGGAGGAGAAGGAGGAGGAGGAGGAGGCGGAGGATCTTCTTCCAGTGCGCCGCTGCCAACCAACCTCCAAAGTGCAAGAGATGCAGGGGTTGCCTGGCAGGGAAAAGAAAATCACGCAACCCAGCTCTTGGAGGTCTTGGAAGGCGGGAGGCCCTTGCAAATCCGCTGTAAAACCTCGAGCTGGTGCTTAATAATGGCATGCGGGCCAAAAGCGGCCACAGGACAGGGCTCCCGCAAGGAATCAGGGCGAACTATTGCCCAGGAGCCGCATTCACCGCAAAAGGTGAAATCACCTTTCTGCCACAGAACGTGCGAAGGATGGACCGCCTTGCCAGCGACCCATGGCTCAGCTCGCTCGGGGGGGCGGATCGAGCCTCAGGCGGCGCCAGAGGGAAACATCCCCGGCGGCCAGGGCCCGACCTGGCCTCACCCACTTTTTGACAGGAACCTCCTCCGCCACCACCGAAACCAGACTCCCAACTCCACCACCTCCATAGGCAGGGCAAGCAGAGCGGAGTCTCGCGCGGAGCGATGGGGCAGCGTCGGAGATCGAGGCCTTGCACATGCCACACGTCCAGAAGCCACACACAAACTCCCAAACGTGCGACGAACACCTAACATCGGCTTCGATCCACCGACGCCTGCGGAGCACAAGATCGATGGGCTGCTTGCGCAACCTGCGCTCAGGATCAGCCCTGAGGGCAGCACACTCGAGGATGATAGAGGCATTGCGCTTGAGGATGGCACAGGCATTGGCAACGAGCTCGTTATAAGTCTGCACAACTCCATCAGGAACCTGGCATTCAAGAGCACGCAAGTTAGCGAGCTCGTCCGCGACAGAGTTAAGCACAACATGGTCCCAGTCTACAGAGTCGCCAAAACGGGCGAGCTTTTGGGCGTCGTCCAGCAGGTGGCTGGGAACATGAGAAACCTGGAAATGACCAGATCGCTCCGAGAGGAGCTGCCAAAATGCCACCAGAGATCAAAATTTGCCAGCCTAGCAGAGGCCGCTCGGCCAGCCTGGAAACCTTTGACGACATGGCATGGCCGGTGACCACGCGCAGATCTTGGGCAGGATCAACGCACCGAAGGCACTCAACAATAGCCGCAAGCTCTGCGCGGGGTACCGTCTGCCGAACCGAGTCGAGCACACCTGTGACTCCACAATCCCAGTCGAAGCCATCGCTACGACGGAGCCGCACAAAGGCAAAAGCAACTCGACGGAGGACAGGAAACCTGGCAAACTGGCCACCAGTGCCGTCTGTGGCATAAAGACCTCCTGGCAGACAGCCTGGAGACAAGGCCCCAGGACAACGCCGCCCCTGGAGCTCCCTGGAACCAGGAACAGGGAGGAGGTTAAACCAAGAAAGGGGAATAAGTCCTCGAATCCAGAAGCACGGAAACTGTAAAGCTTCTTGTAGCGCGCTGCGCCTAAGATGCTGAGTGTCAACAATCTCGTGGACCTGCGACGACGCATTACACATGCACCCCCAAAACCTGTGGCAGGAGGTCTCGGGGTCACGCTGGCAGCGCCGACATATAGGGTCAGGAGCCATCTGGGCATTGTGCCTTCTCTCCTCGGTCCAGTAGCCTCCAGAGGCCAAGAGCCGAATCATAGCCGCGAGGTCCCGACGCCCTTCCTTATCGAGGGAGGCAACAAGGTCCCAGACGTGATGTAGAGAGACAGAACCCTGGATCCCAGCGCCATCCAGCCACTCTGGGAGGAGGCGGAGGAGGAGGAGGGGAAGGAGGAGGAGGAGGAGGAGGAGGAGGAGGAGGGGAGGAGGACAAGCTAGGTGCGCTCGCGTCATATCTGACGTCCTACCCCTCCCTCCCATCCCTTACCATGGCGCTGATTTTCTCTATCCGCGGACGCGTGTCGTAGCGGACCTGTGGCTCCGCGCGCGCGTGCGTAGTGGGTGGTGGTGCGCGTGCGTGCGTGGTGCGTGTGTGCGTGGTTGTGGTGGTGGTGGTGGTGGTGGTGGTGGGTGGTGGGGGTGGTGGTGGTGGTGGTGGTGGTGGTAGTGGATGGTGTGGTGGTGGTGGTGGTGGTGGTGGTGGTGGTGGTGGTGGTGGTGGTGGTGGTGGTGGTGGTGGTGGTGGTGGTGGTGGTGGTGGTGGTGGTGGTGGTGGTGGTGGTGGTGGTGGTGGTGGTGGTGGTGGTGGTGCGGCGCGGTGGTGGCGGGCGGATGGGCGCGCGAGAAAGAGGCCCGCGCTGGGGCGAGAACGCCATCCTGAACGACGGAGGCCAAACACCGATCCGAAAATGAGGCCCACGCTGCAGCGGGAGCACGATTCGGAACGATTCGGGAGCAGAAATGAGGCCGGCGCCTCAGCGAGAGCAGCATTTTGAAAAAAAACGCAGGCGAAAACCCGTTTCCCGGGAATCCTGTGTAAAAAACAATACGCGGGGGGGGATCGGCCATCTTCGGGACGCCATCAGGGGAAGTGGGAGAGTATTTTCATATTGTGTAATTGTGGAGGGAGGGAGGGAGGGAGGGAGGGAGGGAGGATGGAGGAAGAGGAGGAGGGCAAGGGAGAGAGAGGAGGAGTGAGGTGGACGAGGAACAGGAGGGGCCATGAGGAGGACAAAGCGGATAAGGAGGAGGGAGGAGGAGCAGGAGGGACGACGAGGAGGAGGGCGAGGGTGAGGGGGGAGGAGGGATGAGGGAGTAGGAGGAAGAGGAGGAAGAGGAAGAGGAGGAAGATGAGGGGGCATGAGGAACATGAGGAGGACAAGGATAAAGGGGAGGAGGCCGACGACGACAACGACATCGTCCCCGGATCGCCGAGAGGTACGGGTCGAACGTCACGGACACGCGCCCGCACCCCGGCTCCGGGCAGGTGACTGGGGGCCGGGTGGGGCGGTGCGGGGTCGAGGGAGGACTCGTTACTCTCTCTTGTTTTACCTTGCACAATCTCAGCTATCCTCCTCCATACCTCTTCCTCATAAACAACTCGTCTCTGTCGCACCCCGAGACGGGTCGGTAGGGCAGGCTGGGCGTTTCGCCCGAGTCTTCCTCAGAGCTTATGGCCCTGAAGCTTCAAAGTTGCAGGAGCTTCACGGATGGAGGGCGGGTCGTTTCCAAAATGTGAGCCTCGCCTAAACGACGAGCACATTCGTCTTAAAAACTTCCAAGAGGTTCACGGACGGAGAGCGGGTGGCTTCCGAAATGCGGATCTCGCCTGAGCGAATGGAGCACATTCGTCATAGAAGTGTGCCAGAGTTTTAAGGGTAATTGAGGTTGACGTCCTGGACATAATGTTCTGGCCCGATGTGGAATTGTCAGGACGCGACGGTCACCTTGATGTGCGGTGTTAACGTCCCAGAAATACAATTCTGGAGCGACTTAGAATCGTCAGGTCGCAACTGTAACGTTGACTCGCGGCGCTGGAGTCCCAGAAATGGTGCTTTGGTACGGTTGTAGGTTTTCAGGCTGTTGACTTCCAACGGGGTTCCTCCAGCAGTGAAAACAAGTCCTTACAGGAGCCTTCTGAGAGGAAACTTGGAGAGAGGGTCTATTGCAACATCGTTGATGGGTCTTTGGTTTACAAAGGTCTGCCTCCTCCTCTCCTCTCCTCTCCTGCTCATCCTCGCCGTCCTCGTCCTCGTCGTCCTCGCCCTCATCCTCATCCTACTCATCCTACTCCTCCTACTCCTCCTGCTGTTGCTAGCCTTTTCGTCTCCTCCAACTCCTCCTCGAACTCCTGTTCCCCCTCCTGTTTCGATGACGGGAACCCTGTCGCGGGCCGACTGCTGGATCTCGTCCCCGAGCAGCCGCGCCTCAAAATCAACAGGGCTCCCATCCTCCACTTCGCAGCGACAGTGCTGCAGTGCAAATCCAAGAATTCCTCCACTTCCACTTCCTCCTCTTCTCCTCCTCGTCCTCGTCCTCGTCCTCCTCCTCCTCCTCCTTCTTCTCCTCCTCTGCCTCCTCCTCCTGCTCTTCCTCCTCCTCCTCCGATCATTATGTGTTGCATTCGTATGCTTACTATCAGTATTGATTATAGTAGTGCTTTGTCCTGTCGTTGTTTCATGATGAGGATTAGCAGTATCACTATCAGTGTTCGTGTCATTGCGACTGTTCTCAGCACTAGCATTCTTGCGATGCTCGTCTCCTTCGTCTTCGTCTTCCTCTTCTTCCAGATCTTCCTCCTCCTCCTCCTCCTCCTCCTCCTCCTCCTCCTGCTCCTCCTCCTGCTCCTCCTCGGGCCAGCATGCTTGGCCTCGGGCCGCTAATTCGCGGCAGGCGGCCCCCGACCTCCGCCCCCTGCACGACCGACGGGTGGTCCGCCACGATGGTGCTAAGTCGGGCCTGTCCCCCTTACAGGGGGATCCTGGACGAAAAATTAAAAATACCCCCCCCCCCCCCCTCAAAAAAAACGGTCAAAAGAGATTCAAAAAAAATCGTCCCCAGACTATGTCTGGCTATTTTTGAAGATTCCCCCTGCAGAGGGACAGGCCCGACTTGACGGTGGTGGACCCAGACGCCGCCGCCTGCCGCGCTTGGACCACCGCGCACCGCTCCGCAGGCGGCACGGCCGGGGCTCCGCCTGGCGCTCCCCCGCACCTCGCCACGATGGGCCAGCCGTGCTCGGCGATGGACCACTGGAGGCTCGGCAGTGAGCACCAACACCAAAACAGGGGGCTGCCTCCACCGGGGCACGATGGTCCTAGATTTTGGCGTTGGTGGTAATACCTCGGTCACCCAGGAAGCCCGAATATTACCACCATCACAGGGATCGATCGGGCCGGGTGAAAGGGGGGGATAGCAAAGGGGGGGGTGAGAATCAGCTCACGTAGCTGATTTCCCCAGCGCCCCCCGGCGCCGGGAGGCGCCCATGTATCGAGGAACGGGCCCGGCGGCGGGGCCGAAACCGGCTGCATGCAGCAGATCTCATAACCACCCCTTTCCCTATCCCCCCGTTCCGTCCAGCCCGAAACCAGAATCATCTTCCCTCGGCGGAGGCACGCCGCCGATACTGAAGTCGGTATGCGAGACCAGCCCGTCCTCCTGCGCGCTGGGAGGCCCGAGCAGGCCGCGGAGCCGTCGGTCGGAGGCTGCCGCGGCGCGGCGTGCCGCCGCGGCGCCAGGCGGCGGCGTGCCCGTGCAGGGCGAGACCCGGGCAGCAGGCCTGCCTGCAGGCCAGAGGCCGTGCCAACACCCGCCCTGGGCAGGCCCATCCTGGGCAGGGGGCCGCTGCAGGGACCGTTCCGGCAGGTGCCGTCAGGGTGAGGTCGGGCGTGTCCTCCTACAGGCGGATTCGATGGACGGAAGACCAAAAAGCAATAAAGAAATAGCAAACAAGAATTTTAAAAAACGTCCCCTGACTATTTTTGGACCATCTTGAATCTTCCTCATGTTGTAACTATTTCGGAGCATCCCTCCTGCAGAGGGACACGCCCGACTTGGCCAAACGTGGACCTCGGCGTTCCCCGTCCCCCCGTCTGCTGTGACCCCGTCTCCGGCGCCACATGAGAATCCTTGCCGTCGCTCGAACGTCCATTTCCCGTGCGTTTTTCGGTTTCGTGCGTGTGTGTGTTTTTTTTGTTGCTCGGTGGTCCAGGAGGGTCCTCGATGTTTCTCGCCGAGAAAACATGCACACGTCCGAGCGCTGCCGAGGCTCTGGGAGGGCGCGCACGCACGCAGGCGCAGGGCCCGGGAGTGGCCTGGCCAGGGCCGGGGCTCCGGTGGGCAGCTGCCGCCCGCAAGAGCCGGAGCGGAGAGGGCGGCCTGCGCGCCGGCTCCCCGAGGAGCGGCCCCCAGAGGGCGGGCGGCGCGGAGAGGGCAGCGACCCTGTCAGGGGCAGCGAAGCAGACGAGCACTGACAACGCTTGCGCGGGGCCATGGCCGGGGAGCAGCAGCATGGGAGCCGACGGGGTACGGACGAGACGAGAACGGACCGAACATCCAAGAGCAGCCGAAGACAGGGGCGTCATCTTCCGGGGCTTGGCCCGCACGGACTGCGCGGGTCGGCGCTGGACTCTCCTGCCCCCCTCCCTGGCGCGCCGGCGCCGACCCGAGAAATCCGAGCGGCCCCGAAAGCTCGTGCCCTAGCGGCCCCGATAAGCAGCACGCCACACGAAGCGTGTTGACACGGAGCTCAGCACGTAGGCTGAAAACATACGTCTGGCCCGATACGTCTGCCAGAACGTGGGGCGGACACGTGCCGAGCCCACACGCAGCGCGTCGGCACGGACGCTCTGCACGCGGCGCGCGCCGCGTCTCAAAACGGGCGCATCAGAGCAGCGAACTCTCTTTTGCGTATCCGGTCCCTTGCTGTCCTCCGAGAGGAGGAGGAGGAGGAGGAGGAGGAGGAAGAGGAGGAGGAAACGACGCTGTCCCGTGGACTTGAAGAAGCCCAAGAACATGTCGTCGATGTGGCTGTTGTTCCGCTGCCGGTAGTTCTCCCGCGCCTCCGCGGCGACGACGTCATCGGGGCGGCCCTCAGCCTCCTTGGTCTCCACCTTGGCCGGGCGGGCAGCAGGGATCGTGTTGCCCCTCGTCCTCCTCCTCCTCCTCATCCTCCTCCTTCCTTTCCTCCTCCTCCTCCTCCTCCTCCTCATCATCATCTTCCTCATCATCATCTTCATCATCATCATCACCATCATCATCATCATCATCATCATCATCATCATCATCATCATCATCATCATCATCATCATCATCATCATCATCATCATCATCATCATCACATCATCATCATCATCATCATCATCATGCTTTCCTCCTCCCCCTCCTCCTCCCTTTCCTCCTCCTCCTCCTCCTCCTCATCCTCCCCCTCCTCCTCCTCCTCCACTCCATTTCCATATAGATAACCCCTCCCTGTCGGACGTGGCTGGTCGAAAGGGCGGGCCAGGCGTTTCGCCTGCGACTTCCTCACCCTTGATGACCCTAATGCGTAAACGTCGACAACAGCTTTACAAATGGAGGGCGGATCGCTTCCGGAATGTGGCTTTCTTTCGCCTTCGCGCCACGCACATTCGTTTGCAAATTCGCATGAGTTTCACGGATTGAGGGCGGGTGGTTTTCTTCAAAATGTGGCCTTCGCCTTAGCGCTGCGCACACTCGTCTTGAAACTTCGAAGTAGTGTTACGGATTGAGGGCGGGTCGTTTTCAAGATGTGGCTCTCGCGTTGACGCCGCGCACATTCGCATTAAAAATGTGCAAGGGTTGCACGGATTGAGGGCGGCCGTTTGCAAAATGTGGCTCTCACCTCAGCGCCGCGCACACTCGTGCTTGACAATTGTAAGAGTATGGCGAATTGAAGGTGGGTCGTCTTCAAAATGTGGTTCTCGCCTTAGCGCGGCGCAGCTTCGTTTATTAATTGCAACAAGAGCTTCACGGATTTAGGGCGAGTGGTTTCTTACATGTGGTTCTAGATTTAACGCCGAGCGCATTCGTCTTAAAACTTGCAAGAGATTCACGGACTGAGCGCGGCTCGTTTTCAAGATGTGGCTCTCGCCTTTGCGCCAAACACATTTGTCTTGACACATTGCAAGAGCTCCACGGATTGAGGGCGGGACGTTTTCAATATGTGGCTCTCACCTTGACGCCGCGCACGCTCGTTTCAAACATTGTGCCATAGCTTCAAGGATTGAGGGCGGTTCCTTTTCAACATGTGACTCTCGCCTAAGCGCCGCGCAGCACATTCGTTTTTGGGAATTACAAAAGTTTCACCGGTTTTCATAGACAACGTACCAGACACGACGTCTCAGAACGATTCAGGATCGTCAGGGCGCGTCAGTTACGTTGACTCGCTGCGCTGAAGTCCCAGGAATGGTGTTCTGGCACGGCTCACGACCCCCAAGACGTAACATTCAGGTTAACTCGTGGCGTTGAAGTCCTAAAGAAAGGGTTCTGGCACGCTTCAAGATGTTCACACGGTTCCCGCCCAAAGGGGCAAAGTCCCTCAGTGGAAATGACCCATTGCAGGGGCCTGTGAAGAGGGATCTTGGCGGGAGAATGTTTTTCAACATCGTTGATGAGTCTTGGGTTTACACTGGTCCTCCTCCTCCTCCACCTCCTTCTCCTCCTCCTCCTCCTCCGCCTCCTCCTCCGCCGCCTCGTCCTCCTCCTCCTCCTCCTCCTGCTCCTCCTTTTCCTCCTCCTCCTCCTCCTCCTCCTCCTCCTCCTCCTCCTCCTCCTGTCTGTCTCGGAGCAGGGCGAGTTGGAACGAAGTGCAGCTCAAAACCGATCTCGGGGCCCCTCCCGGGGTCCACGCACACCAGTGTGCCGAGCTGCGTCCAGCCCGTGGTGACGAGGGGCCGCCCCCGAAGGGCAACTAGCTTTGCCTCAACTGGCCCTCCTCCGAACTATCTTCCGAGTGACTCTGGTCAGGAGCTGGCCCTCAGCCTGTCGAGGCGGCGGCCCCAGCGACTCGCAAGGCCTTGCACACTGAGGGCGCGTCGCTCTGTCTCGAGGGGCGGAATGTGGGGGGAAAGTTCGGAACGCGCATGCTTGGGGACTGGGACGTGCTCAGCGTGTCGCGCCGAAGCGTGTCGGGCCTCACACGCGAAGCAGCTTTCCTGACCGCAGCTCCCCCGCATCGCGTCGCCGTGCGTGTCAGCAAGGACCGTCAGAGCGCTTCGCCCGACGCTTGATGATCCTCAGAAGCTTGAAGCTTGAAGCTTGAAGCCTGAAGCTTCAACGCTTGTGTATAGGCGCCAACGTCTCCTTGTCCACCGAAGCCCGTCCGTACGACGCAAGCCGTGCAATGAGGGCCAGCACAGGCTGCGCGCTGTCGGTTCATCTGAGCAGGGTAACACACACACACACACACACACACACACACACGCACACACACACACACACACACCACGCACGCACGCACGCACGCACACGCACGCACGCACACACACACACACACACACACACACCACACACACACACACACACACACACACACGCACCACACACACACACACACACACACACACACGCACACGCACGCACGCACGCACGCACACCAACACACACACACACACACACACACACACACACACACACACACACACACACACACACACACACACACACGCACACACACACACACACACACTGGGCCAACACACGCACTGAGGATCATCCAAAAGCAAACATATGGTGATTTCCTCGCTTCCAACAATTGCACGGATGGAGGCCCTCCATCCATGCAATTGTTGGAGAGCCGAGCGTTCTTCCCGAGGAGCGTTTCGCTAAAGGGTTCCAGGAGTGATGAGGAAGGACCGCAGAACAGACCCGCGGAGGGAAGGGGAGCCCGAGATCGCCACCTCTAGATCGCCCCGTCCGGCAGCCGTTTCACATGAGACTTCCTCACGATTGATTTAGGAATCGCGCTCTCGCCCCCATGCTGGCTGCATGTTTGATCACGGCAACGGTCCTTGTAAACAAAAAACACTGAGGTGTACATAGCCATGTCTTGACCTCCTACTCCTCGGCCCACTTCTTCACCTTTGCTATTATTATAATGCCTTGCTGGGGTAACCAAAACCTGGTTCCAAGAAATCCCCACGCTATGCAGCCGAACCCGAATCTGGTCGCTCGGAGGCGTCAGACCGATAGTGCTCTCACCGTTCCCGCGGCCTCAGTCCGACGATGACCGACGGACCGACCGACCGACAGACCGACCGACCATGACGACGACGATGACGACAACGAAAATGGGGTGGGGGGTGGCGGTCTTTTAACATGTTGTCCCCGAGATGTTTTCGGTGCACCACGAATCGGACGCTCCCCGCGGGTGGGGGGGGCTATGTATTGCTTAGTCGCATTCCTCCATCATGTGGGTCGCCCAAACCTTGGAGAGGGGCCAGCGAAGGCCTGCCAGGCCAGAAGCGACTGCTAGATGGCAGGGTCAGGCCCCGCGCGACGCCCCGCTCGCCCTCAGGCTGGGGCCCCCATCCTCCTCCTCCTCCTCCTCCTCCTCCTCCTCCTCCTCCTCCTCCTCCTCCTCCTCCTCCTCGACGATCGCGACCGCACAGCTAGTACAAATGACAGGCGCACCTACATCAACAACGCCCTTGTCCAGGCTCACGAAGAGCATTGCGAACATGTGCGAGCTACTGCACAATGCCTGGCGCATGGGGAAGACCTCACAGCAGACCACAAACTACAAGAGCTCATCGTCCAACGACGTAACACACCACACAATGACACAACCAAACGTGCCACGTTGAGCAAGCAAATCTTGAGGCAACTTCGAACCATCAAACGAGCCCGCGACAACGCTAAACTAGATGACATTGTCTGCCAATTCAAAGGCCTCAAGAGGATAGCCGGTGTGAAGTCTTCCAAACGAAAAGACATGATTGCATCAATGACGACCCCAACGGGAGACGAGGAGACTGACAGGACAAGCATCGCCGACGTTTTCGCGGCATTCTACGAGCAACTCTACCGGAAGCAAGAGAGCGACAACAAGGAGAACAGCATTGCCACAAAGGCAACATATTCCAACATACCGCCATTCACGATGGAAGAAATACGGAAAGCCATCAAACAGCTGAAAAATGGCAAGTGCAGCGACACTGCTGGCCTCACAGCAGAACTGCTCAAAGCAGGAGGCACGACCATTGAGGAGTACTTGCTGCAGCTCTACAACGACATTATCACACCAAACCACCTGCCACCCGACCAATGGAAAAGCACGACGATCACGGTTATATACAAGTCCGGAGACCCAAAACTACCACAAAATTACAGTCCAATTGCCATCATCCCGTTGTTGTACAAGCTTATGTCTCGCCTCATATGCAATCGGCTTGAGACAGCATCCGACGCACAACAAAGCCCCGAACAAGCTGGTTTCAGGCGTGGCTACAGCACGGAAGACCACTTATTCACTACGGCAGTATTGTACGAACAGTCATATCGCTGGCAGCTACCACTCTGGGCAGCCGCAATAGACTTTCAGAAAGCGTTCGATTGCGTGAGCCATGGTAAACCTTTGGAAGCTTTGCGACAGCAACACATCCCTGCTGCATATATTGGTTTCTTACAACAAATGTACAGCGACCAAACAGCCACAGTCAGAACAGACACTAACAGCCGGCATTTTGACATACAGCGGGGAGTGAAGCAAGGAGACCCTCTCAGTTCATTCTTGTTTAATTCGCTTTTGGAACACATGTCCCGACAACTCAAGACCAAGTGGCACCAAAAGCAGTTTGGCGCGCTTCGCAGATGACGTCCTGCTGTACGCCCCGAACCTACGCCAGCTTACCTGTCTGCTACGCGACTTGAAAAACCAGGCGGCACTCTGCGGACTTTCACTACACCCCGACAAGACCAAGATCCTGACGAATGTTAGCCGGAGGATGGGTAGAACCTTAACGCACATCAAGATGGACGACGCACGTATCGACATCTTGCACAACGTCCAGAGCACAAAATACTTGGGCAGAAAACTGCCGTTCCACAACTTCCACGAGTACGAGCTAGCAAACAGGATCGCCACAGGGTGGACGAAGTTCAACCAACTACGGAAAGAACTCACGAACAAACGGTTCTCTTTGCACAGTAGACTACGACTTTTCAACGGCACAATCACGCCTTGCGTTATGTATGGATGCTGCTCATGGACTCTCACCAAAGACATGCTCCTCACGCTGCAGAGGACACAACGGAAGATGATTCGTCTGGTCGTGGGCGTGCCGAGAAGACGGCTCCGACAGGGAAACAACAACGCAGCACCCGATACCAACAGCACAACCGACGACACTGGTGACCAGCACGAATTTGGACCGCGCAGCAGAGACGACGACCTGGAACCCTGGGTGCATTCATACGCAGGAGCACGCGCACTTCCATAAGTATTGCCGAGCGCATGCATGTGCAAAAATGGACACACACACACACACATATATATATATATATATTCCAAAACGAAATGGAACTACGCAGCTCGAGTCGCAAGCCATAGTCACGACAGATGAACGAGACGTTGCATAACTTGGGACCCGAGCGCTCACGACGCACGACGAGCAGAACGACGGCACGGCGGTCAACGGAAGACTTGGAACGACGACATATGGTCATTTCTTAAAACAGCTACATATTATAAATACGACAACCAATGGGTGGATATGGCATCTGATGCAAACGTGTGGAAAAGTCTTGAGGACGGCTTTCTCGACTACATGGAGGACTTCCTTCTTCTCCCTCAAAGAGTCTCCAACATCCATCTCTCCGATTTCTGCTCGCAACACGTCTTCTGAGGGCCCCGGCCCCCCGCGCTGCCCTCGTAGGGCCGGCCCCGCTGGACCGACATCGCGCGCTCGTCTCGTCTCGTCTCGTCTCGTCTCGTCTCGTCTCGTCTCGTCTCGTCTCGTCTCGTCTCGTCTCGTCTCGTCTCGTCTCGTCTCGTCTCCTCCTCCTCCTCCTCCTCCTCCTCCTCCTCCTCCTCCTCCTCCTCCTCCTCCTCCTCCTCCTCCTCCTCCTCCTCCTCCTCCTCCTCCTCCTCCTCCTACTCCTCCTCCTCCTCCTCCTCCTCCTCCTCCTCCATTCCTTTTCCCTAGAAACAACCCCTGCCGCTCGCACCCCGAGGCCAGTGTTTAGGGCGGGCCGGGCGGTTCGCCTGAGCCTTTCTCACAGTTTACGGCCCTGAAGCCTAAATATTGGCAACAACTTCACGGATTGAGGGCGGGTCGTTTTCAAAATGTGGCTCTCGCTTTAGCGTCGCGCACATTCGTTTGAAGCACTTGCAGGAACTTCACGGATTGAGGGCGGGCCGTTTTCAAAATGTGGTTCTCGCCTGAGCGCCGCTCCCATTCGTTTTCTCAAGAAGTGCAAGAGATTCACGGATTGAGGGCGAGTGGCTTTCGAAATGTGGCTCTAGCTTTAGCGCCGCGCGCATTCGTTTAAAACTTTGCAAGAGCTCCACGGATTCCCGTGATCAGCGTATCAGAAATGGTGTTTTAGAAGGGTTCAGTATTATGAGGGTGCGACAGTTACGTTGATTCGCGGCGTTGAAGTCGAATGGCGTTCTGGCACGACTCGGGGTCGTCAAGACGCAACAGTCAGGTCGATCCGTGGCGTTGGAATCCCGAGAACGATGTTTTGGCATGCTTGAGGGTCTTCAAACGGATGTCTTCCAACGAGGCAGTTCCCTCAGTAGAAATGAACCGTTGTATGGGGCACATGAAGAGGGAGCTTGGAGGAAGGGTGTTTTCCAACATCGTTGATGAATGACTCTTGGGTCGTCCTCCTCCTCCTACTCCTACTCCTACTCCTCCTCCTCCTCCCCCTCCCCCTCCTCCTCCTCCTCCCCTAGTCCTCCTACTCCTCATCCTCCTCCTCACAGGCTGGGGCCCCCACGAACGGCTTCTGCCCCTTCACCCTGTTGACGTCTTCTTTGAGACCGTCCAGGAGGTACTCGATGAACTCCATCGAGTCCTGCTTTTGGTTTCCGCCCAGCGGCCGTGGGAGGTGGAGCAGCAGCAAAGTGGGAGTGGGGAGCAGGAGGACGAGGAGGAGGAGACAGGAAGGGGAAGAACTAGGAGGAGAAGGAGGATGAAGAGGAAGACTGGGAGGACGAGAAGGGCAAGAGGAGAAGAAGGAGAGGGGGAGGAGGAGGAGGAGGAGGAGGAGGAGGAGGAGGAGGAGGAGGAGGAGG